GACTTGTGCCTACGAGCAGCCCGATGAGATCGGCCTATGTTTCCTACAGACCGTCGCGGTAGCCGACTCTTCCCCCACGGACTTGTCTTCGGACCCCCGTGTGGTGCGGTTGCTGGACGAGTTCGCCGATATCTTCGAGTCACCTACCGGTGTGGTGCCGGATCGGCCGATCTCTCACGAGATCATTCTTGAGGCCGGTGCTGTGCCGCCGAAAGGTTGCATCTATCGGAGGAGCGAGGAGGAGCTTGAGGTACTCCGCGCACAACTCGATGATTTGTTGGCCAAAGGCTGGATCCGCCCGAGCAGCTCCCCATATGGAGCACCTGTTCTCTTCGTCAGGAAGAAGAACAAGGATCTACGATTGTGTATCGACTACCGCAAGCTCAACGCGCAAACCATCAAGAATGCGGGGCCTCTTCCTCGCATCGAMGATCTTCTCGAGCGACTGGGCGGCGCGAAGTATTTTTCCAAGTTGGATTTGAAATCGGGATATCATCAAATCTCGATCCAGCCRCACGATCGCTACAAGACSGCGTTCAAGACACGGTAYGGGCATTTTGAGTGGGTGGTCATGCCTTTTGGCCTCACCAACGYCCCGGYGACGTTCCAGGCGGMGATGACCAACGAGTTCCGTGCAATGTTGGACCGGTTCGTGCTGGTCTACTTAGACGATATTCTCGTCWACAGCCGGTCATTGGAGGATCATCTGGGGCACCTTCGACGAGTGTTGGAGACGCTCCGCCRCGCCAAGTACAAGGCCAACCGCGACAAGTGTGAATTTGCCCGGCAGGAGCTGGAATACTTGGGYCATTTTGTCACAKTGGAGGGCATCAGTCCGCTATCGGACAAGATTCAGGYCGTCCCGGAGTGGCCGGAGCCTCGGAACGTCACGGAAGTTCGCTCGTTCCTTGGTCTTACTGGCTACTATCAGCGCTTCATCGAAGGCTACTCCAAGATCGCGGCCCACTTGAACAAGCTTCAGTGCGAGGATCGTCCGTTTGACTTTGGAGAGGAGGCGCGGGGATCATTCCTCGCTCTCAAAGCCGCGCTATTGTCTGCGGAGGTCTTGCGAATCTACGACCCGCTCACACCTACGCGTGTCACTACGGATGCGTCAGGATATGGCATTGGTGCAGTCCTCGAGCAACATGATGGTGTGGACTAGCACCCGGTCGAGTACTTCAGCAAGAAAGTGCCCCTCGTGCATTCCATCGACGATGCACGCAAGAAGGAGCTCCTCGCCTTCGTCCACGCGCTCAATCGGTGGCGGCACTTCCTCCTTGGTCGAAGCCAATTTCGCTGGGTAACGGACAACAATCCGTTGGTCTTCTACAAGACCCAGGACACCGTCAACAGCACCATCGCTCGATCGATGGCTTTCATCGACCAGTTCGACTTCTTTCCCGATCACATTCCCGGGAAGTCGAACCGTTTTGCGGATGCTCTTTCACGGCGTTCGGATCATTGTACCGCGGTCTACTCAACTTTCGAGATTGACGACGACCTGCGGAACAGCTTCATCCGCGGCTACCAAGCCGACCCCGAGTTTCGCGACAAGTACGCGAATTGCTCCTCGCCTAATCCGTCTCCTTCTCACTACCGGATCCAGGAGGGGTACTTGCTTGTCCACACGCGSGGGAAGGACCTTCTTTGCGTACCAAGTGATCCTCACTTGCGTACACGGCTTCTTGGCGAGTTCCACGATGCTCCCGCCATTGGACACTTCGGGGTCAATCGCTCGATTGGCCGACTTCGCCAGCGATTTTGGTGGTCTGGCCTTCTCAGCGACGTCACGCGCTATTGCGAGTCTTGCGAGGTTTGCAGACGTTGCAAATCACGCAACCATCGTCCGTACGGCGAGCTACGACCATTGCCGGTCCCGTTGAGGCGAAGGGAAGCGATTGCCATGGACATTACCGGCCCGTTCCCCAAGCACAAGACCGGAGTGGATGGGATTCTCATGGTGGTCGACCGACTCACCAAGTTCGCCATGTTTTTGCCTTGTCGCTATCATGCCAAGGCACCGGAGTTGGCCGAGGTTCTGTAAGCCGGTTGGATTCGCACCAAGGGTTACCCCAAGGAGATCGTCTGCGACCGCGACACTCGGTTCATGTCCGATTTTTGGTTGGCGCTCATCAAACG